AGCAAGGTGATGAGAGATCGACAGCTTTGCGCCTCTCTGAACTCGAACATCCGTTACAGAGTGGCATAAGTCAGACGATAGGTTATCAAATCAATCGTCAGCTTCTGTGCACAAGTTTTTCAGTACCAGGTATACTGATGCACCCTTCGATGTTCGGAAAAGGTGTTCATAATGGACAATCCGTTGTTTGCGCAACACCGCAGCAGTTTCATGCCGCTATTATTGAGGTCGCTAGGGCCGTTCTTTCCAATCACGCCTTTCCACTTTTCGCCGTCTACTCCGATATGCTCGTTAAAATCGCTCACGAGTCTGAAGGACTCTGTATTCGGCATTTCGTACATAGTACACCCCACTTCCGTAAGGAGAGAGTCATATTCTTCCTCGAAATTGGGTGCATAGACCTGTACCAAGGTCAACGCTTTAGTCTGTTGTAGCTTCAGTCATAGGATTACCACCCTTCCGCTGACAGGCTTCCAATCAGTGATTTTCTCTGCGAGGTTAGGTTCTACCAAAACACCAACTCCGGCCTGAGCGCTCGTCGTGATATCGACACTTGAGTAGAATAGCTTCCAGCCGCAGAAATTCAAAATTCCAGAGCCTTGGCGCTTCGTTAACGAGACTCCAACTATGTCGAGTTCATACCTTGCGGGTTCATTAACTAGCTCCTGCTTTCCTGCTTTTTCCCTTTGAGTAAGGAAATGTGAAATATCGTTCCCGTGAAACCATATCTTAGTGGTATAATGGCATTGTGGGGTGTGAGTCCTCCATTCAGAATGGGTGGCGGCTCGGTAGTTGACTGGTATTTTCGTAGTCTTGTAGATTTTCGGCAGCCCTCCCTGTACTGCTACATCTTCAGCTGCCAGAACTCGCGAAGCAGGTTCGAATGTTCGATTTTTCGCAATCTGCCTCAGTTTTTTAATGACCTCTGAAGTCTTTTGTAATTCGGGCGATGACTTTGGCCCGTATAGCGCTCGGTTTGGACAACACTATGAGGGGTAGGTTTCTAAGTTTTACGGGGCACCTCGACACGGTTTCCGGTTCTCCACATCCCTCGTCAAGGCTTGAAAAAGTCAACGACGGATTTACTTTGATTGTCAGTAATGTTTTCTCAATCCATTTCATAGTGTGTTACAGTTCTTATTTTACATAGTAATGGATGACTTGCCCTTTGCGAGGTGCCGAACATTATGTTAACATTTTTTTCATTTTTAATATCTATATTGTAGCTGCGTAATTTGTTTGCTTTGATCTTCTCATTTGCATAATCGACAGAAATACGTATTTTGATTGTATATCTGCTTAGACTGAGATTCTCTTTTTTTAAGACGTCTGCAGTAATATAAGTATTTGTTCATTCCATATTCGTAATGCTAAAGATGACTAAAACACAATGTCATATTTAGAACTTAGCGCGAGATGGCGACTGGGGGAAAAGAATCACCGCGTCCATGTGGGCGGCATGAATCGCAGATTCTGCACGCCCCTTCTCCGTTTGCCTCTGAGACGATTATGAATGGCCTGTTCGATAAAGAGGACAGCCCAAAAACGTTGTACGAGAAGCAGAAGACAACTGAGTATCAGATAGCGGAGCTTGCGTCGTTTTTCGGCGATGTTGTTTGCGAATGTTTCTTGTAAGAAACGTGGTTCCAGCTGAATAATCTTCTGTCGTCATATCCGGAAGAAGTGGATGAGCAGAGAGTATCATCACCGCTGTTAGTAACCGCAAGTGGGATCTACAGCTCCGTCGTGACCGATCGCTTGCGCTCCTTGTTCTCCTGCGCGAAGTTGAGCAGTCAGCTGAAATTGCTGTTCGGTGAAGAGCCGGTTAGCGTGCCTCCGCTCAAGGGGGCGGAGTCGCCCAATGGACTGTCTAAAGGAGATACCATCTCTTTGATGATTAAGTTCATTAACTACAACAGGACGATCAGTCCTCTCTGGCGGGATGCGTTGTTGACCAAGGAGTTGTCCTTGGCTAAGGCGGAAACAGTCGTCACCTTGAAACCTGAGAACCGAGAGGTGTGTTCTGCTTTGCGGTGCCTTATTCGCAAAATGCTCAGAGCTTACGATTCAGACCGGACGGATTCCAGCTCTGATGAAGAGGCTGAGCCGAACAGTCGACCATTCCCTTTGGCTACCACCTTCCCGATTATAGCCGCGGATAAAATATCAGAGTACGCGTTCACTGTAGGTACAGTTGGTTTTTATTAATTATAATGTTTTAGTGACGAAGCTGTCCGCTTTCTGTCAAGGATTCATGGATTTCTAGCAGGAAAACATGGCTCAGCCTTGAAATATCAATCTTGTCCCGCAAACTGAAACAAATCCGCGAGATATGCAACCGTATCAAATCAGAAAAGCCTCTTGACGATTTGCGATTGCGTTCTTTTCAGTAAGCATGGATGTTGCTGTTTCTGAGTTGATTTTTTCCTTTGGCTTAGGCTTCGTCACTTTGCTCAAACTTGACTTCTTTTCTGATTTTTCAGATGTTAGAAAGATGTAAGTTAATCCTTTTTCTTGTTCTCCGGCAGAAAGTCTTCAGAACAGCGAATCGTGTTAAAATGCCAGGGGTGCGCAGTGTACGAAAGGTAGCTGAAAGGCAGCCCAAGCACTCCGCTGCCTCATAAATCTAAGGGCAGTTCAAATGTGTGACGTTCCGGTTCGCTAGGTTTCAACAGACGTTTATTTATGTGCAATAAAATAAGGTTTTCACGTCTCCGTTTGTGGCGAAAATCTCAATTTCTCATAAGGAAACACTACCTCCCGACGCAGTGCCGTCCGGGTGTAGATCCATGGCCGTTGTCAGTGGGTAGTCCAGTCGCCTCGAGTTTAAACTTATATTATTGGACTGTAGCCGCCAGTATCAAGTTTCATGAAACCCCACATTACATATCTCTGATAATCTCTCAGTGAGTGCAATGCGAATTTCAAAATTCGACGTTTTGTCGATGACTCCATGACTGTGCAACACGCCAGTTCATTAAGTATATGTACAGTCACGTGTTTGTGATCTTTATCTGTGCAATTTCACAGTGCCTACCTCCATCGTCTTTCAGTCGGTCATTCAGATTCGATGATCGCTTATC